GGTGGGGGAGAGACATGAAGGGATGTGTCTCAGTTGTTCCCTGCTCCAGAGACCTGCGAGCACCTGCCCCGGGGCCAGCCCGGCGGCCTCCAAGGTCCTTTGCTGCACGCACCACCACCTCTAAGCCCTCCCTCATTTTGAGAGGCAGGACCAGGGTGATCTGGTCCACCCAGGGGTGAGAAGTGTGTGTGTGGGGGGAGGGGGGGTGGTAAAGAAGGCAGACACTCACCCAAGCTCATCAAGGACCCAGCTATGACCACAGGACGATACCCAGAACAGGCCCCTGGAGATGCCAGTCAACCCGGGACTACTCAGTGGTTAGCACTGGCTTTCACACTCAGATCCTCTCTTAACTAGCTAGGCCATCCTGGGCAGGGTACTTAAGCCTTCTGTGCCCCAGTTCCCCCATCTAACCGTATAATAGTGCCCACCTCCTGCCCTAGCTGGCTTGGCTCAGTGGATAGAACGTCAGCCGGCGGACTGAAGGGTCCCAGGTTCGATTCTAGCCAAGGGCACATGCCTGGGCTGTGGGCTCGTTCCCCAGTAGGGGGTATGCAGGAGGCAGCCAATCAATGATTCTCTCTCATCATTGATGTTTCTATCTCTCTCCTTCTCCCTTCCTCTCTGAAATCAATAAAGAAAATTTTTTTTAAAAAAAAATAGTGCCCACTTCCCAGGTGCCTGTGTTAGAAGAGATGGTGACTACCAAGCACTGGCACCACGGCTGGCATGTGGCAAAACCAGAGCTGTCTCCCAAGGCCAAGGGGCCTTCTCCCTCAGCCCTGCCTGCAGACCCTTGAGATGCTGCCACAGCAACTACTGATATGCCAGAGACTCATGAGAAAAGGCACAGGCAGCCCTCCACAACTGCTGACCCAGAAAATTGTTCACTGAATCCCCATCTTACAGCAGAGGAAACTGAGGCCCCAAGAGGATGGCATCTTATCAAAGGATTTGAACCCGGTGGTTTACCACCGGAAGCCACATTCTTAACCCATATACTAACCTGCCTCTCCTGGAAATTGCTACACCCAACGACATGGATACTATTACAGCCCCAAGTTTGCAGGTGAGGACACTAGGACCACGGGAAGGCTAAATAATCGGACCCAGGACATGCAGCGCAGAGGAGAGAGCTGGGATTTGGACCCAGGCAGGCAGCCTGAGAAGCACACCTGCTCACCCACTGCACTGCATTGCCTGGGGCAGCCGGCCACTCCTGGTCCAGCACCTCCCAGAGAGCAGGCAGAGGCACCTGAGGTGCCTCATCACCCCAGGCCACCCCCCAGCCCATCACTCCAGGGAACAGCCAGGCCCCCTCCCACGCTCCAGCTTAAGCATCTCCTGAGCACCCCAGAATCTTGGGGATTAGGGGCCCCTACCCCAGCTGGCACATGGGGAAACTGGGGCACAGGGACTTGTCCACAGCTAGGGAGACAGACACAGGCCTCCTGCTTTCCCTCTCTTGCCTGGAGAATTGGCCAAAGAAAAATGCTTTTATCTCTGGGCCCAGGATCTAGAGCCTGCCAGAAGTACCCCAGGCAGGATGGGGATAAGGCTCCTGCTCCCGCCCCAGGGCCGCTCACAGCTTGCTTTCCTGTCCCTGTGGGCGCTGCGGGCCAGCAGCAGCAGGGAGCACACCATGGGACAGGTGGGGCCTGCCCTGGTGACTACCCCAGCTCACAGCTCCCCTCCCAGGCCAGGCCAGGGGAGAGGATGCCAGGGCGTGAGCTGCCTCCCCTGCCCACCCTTTAGGCATAGAGCCAATTCTCAGCCTCCAGACAGGAGCCCCTCTGTCCCTACAGGACAGCTGACCTTTAACTGGCCAAAAGGTCCCTCTGGTTCCACCCCTGCCTGGGGGAGCGGGTTTGCAGGAGGGAAGAAGGCAGGCCAGGGGTCGGGAGGAGTCCAGGGCCACCCCTCAGCCTCTCCCTCCTCTTTCCTGACTCTCACTGCTCTGTCTTCCCTCTTCCTTCCCTCTCAGCCCAGTGTCCCAAGCCCTGATCGTCCACAGCCGCTCCTCTTCCTCCTTAATTATGTTACCTTTTATTTGCCTGGCACTTTAGAGTTTACCAAATGTTTTTACATTTATCATCGCATTGAATCCACACCAGGGAGAGATGGGGAGACATTGAAAATTCCTTCAAATTGCCAAGTGTTCTTGTTAAAAATGCAAACATCCCCAGAAGATGAACAATTAGGCTGGCAGCCACTGGTACCTCAGTCTAATTTATTTCATCCTCTGCCTCATCCTCAGTCACTTAGCACAAGTGGATGGGGCTGGGGCGGGGGTAGGGGGAGAAGTAGTGCCTTTTGGGGGGCTGCCTCCGCAGGGTGGGGAAGGCCCTGGTGTGGTGTCTGCACCCCTGGGGAGAGGAAGGGCAGGGAACTAGGGTGGGTCTGAGGACAAGCCTTCATCTTTGCAATGCTGCGCATAAACAACAGGCCCTCACCAAGCCCTAAATTCTAACCCAACCACCGGCCTCCTCCCACATCGCTCTGCTGGTGTCTCCAAGGTCAGAAGGAAAATCTTTATGCAAGAAAAGGCTTAAAAGGCTTTGAGGGTGGAGTCCACAAATCCAGAACCTGGGAGAGGGAGGAGGGAGGCAGGGTGCGGGTGCCTGGTTCTCCCTAACCCAGCTCTGCCACGTGGCCCAAGGTCCCCTGCTCAGGGCAGCCCCCCCAGAACCAGCTCCAGCTGGAAGGAGAAGTCCATAGGCTGGGCACTGGTGGAAGGACACATCCAGATCATGGGGGTAAATCAGGAGACCCTTCCTTCAAGGGGGTCTCTATTACCCTGATGGATAACTGATAGAGGGGTGGGCCTGTGGCCCTGAGGGTCCTCCCAGCTCCCACATTCCATGGTCCTGGGATCAAGTCAGGGAAACAAGCCTGTGGCCAAACCCCAGGCAGGGCATCTCAAGAGCTCCGGGATGCTCACTTTTGAAGGCCCCGCCCTGAATCTCATCACATATTCAAATGAACCACATAAAAAAATATAACCCACACATAGCTCTCAAGAGTTGAACTGAGTTGCAGTTGACCATCTGACATAATGTTAGGTTCCGTAGCTAAACATGTATTAATTTCAATTCTGTCGTTTTCTTTGCAAATTGTGGAGACTATCTGTTTGTTTCCAGCTCTCAAACATTTTCCTTGGCTGTTGATGAAAGCCTGTAGGCCCTAGATGCTGTGTCTACATTCCCAGTGCTCTGACCCCAGAGAGTTCAGGCAGCGAGGCTGCAGAACTGCAGCAGCAGGACTTAAAAGAAATCTAACAAAGGCTGTGTCGGCGTCACAGGGGGTACCTCGAGATCCACTGGAGGCCACCTCCTCTCAGGAGCCCTCCCAGGTCACTCTAGCTAACAAAAATACCTCCCCTCCCGATCTCAGAGTACTCGCCATCCAGGGACTCATTTGGCACCAATGGCACACCGTCAAGGTGGCTGTTTAGCTTCATTTTTTAGCTCTGTCTTCATTATTTAACACACTCATGTTTGCCTTATCTTCTCCCACTGACCTGTGAGCTCTCCGAGGTGCCCTGGACCTCTCCTCTGCCTCCCCTCTGAGCCCAGTATGGTGTCCCATCAAACAAGAGAGCCCAGGCCCTGTGTGCAGGGTGTGCAGTTTGGAGAGGGACAGGGGTCCACTGGTCCCACCTACCCTCCATGCCGTCATCACGATGCCCATTAAAGTTGTCGTAGGAATCCCAGCGGATGAGGGGGTCAGAGGTGTTGTAGTCCACTGACACGCTCGGCCCGTTCTCCAGGTGTTCCATGCCTACAAGGATGGGGAAGGGCAAGAAGACAGTGAGGGGAAAAGGAAAAGAGATCCGCAGCTGGAAAAACAGAGGAAGCCAGCAAGATCCCCCAAGGATGGTCCCTACGGGACTTCTCATTTTCTTGACCCGGGCGGGGCGGGGCGGGGCGGGACCAGTGGCTTCAGTTGGACGGAGAACCCAGGGGTCTGGTTTCTTGCATTCTTGAAAAGGCTCATACCAGGTCATAGGGGTAAATCAGGACAGGGCACTAAGGAATGAAGACCCCATCCCTCAAGAGAAAGCTGGGGGACCCTCTGCTGAGTTCTGCTTCTTTCTTTTCTGTGTCCTAGGAGCAGTGCAGGGAGACCAGAGTCTGCCCCTGAGGTCAGCGGGAGTGTGGGAGAAGCAGGGCTCACAGCCTTGACATTGAGAAGACACAAGGTCACCCAGGCCATCTTCCTGCCCCCAACTTAAGAAGCTCCCCACTCTAGGTAGAAATCTGAGGGGAGAGACAGAATCCCTCCTACACATCCAGAGAAAGCCCAGAATGAAGACAGCACAAGCTGCCAGGCAGACATTCTGGGGTGAGTCGCCTCCCTGAGCTAGCAGGCCTTTCTTTAATTTATCCAGAGTCCCCCTGTCTATAACCTAACTTCATATCCTCCCATTCTGTCCTCAGATAAGATGGAGAACAACTGGTCTCCACATATAACCAGTCTAAAGACTGAAAGGCTATTATTAAATTGGTCTTCTCCTCTTCAGGTTGAATCACCTCAGTTCTCAGAAATGCCTATCGTTTAGCCAGCACCTTGGAGTGTCCCCTCAGCCACACCCTCCATCCTCCATGGCCCACAGTCTCTAAATATAATAGCATGATGACCTAATGGACTAGAACGGTTTATCCAACCCAGCGCCTCTCTGTCTGCTTTTTTATTTTTATTACCCAGAGATTAAGTCACTGGTTCATGTTTAGCTGGGGGTCCACTATGATACCCAGATCTTTTACTGTTGGCCTGCTTTTCAATCACATAGGTAACTTGACAATTATAGAGAAGATCAGTGGGAGAATGGTGAAGGAGGGGTGGGAACAGGCCAGGATAGAGGGGAAGAAGTGAATGATGAATGGATTCTAATTTGAATTATACCTTGAATTTTCTCTGGCCCATAAGAAAATACAAATTCCACCTTGCCGTATTCTGGAAATCGATCATCTGAAAAAGGAGAAAAACAAAATGGGCACTCAATTTCTAAAAAGGACTCCATAAAAGGTTTTCTTCTAGAAAAGATTAAAATAATACACATACACATTGATAATATATTAAGTTATATATTTATATGGAATATAAACCCTTGACCCAGTCCTACTTACCTGAGGTAATCATTTCTATTTCTTGTTCTACTAGTGGTTACCTCTAAGACTCTAAATATTAGCCAGTTTTTATGTCACTATTTTTAGGTACATCAGTTTTAAATAATCCCCATTGATTCACCACTATGAAAATGAATAATTTGGCTCACTTTACTACTCCTACCTCCCTTCTTCTAAACTCTGGTATCATCATCATCATCATCATTTATTCTACTGATTACATTTGAAACTTTAAATACTATAGTTAAGCCTCTATTTCTTGATCTGTCCCTTTTTAATATATTTTTATTGATTTCAGAGAGCAGAAGGGAGGAGAGAGGGATAGAAACATCAATGATGACAGAATCATTAATCGGCTGCCTCCTGTATGCCTCCCATTGGGGATCAAGCCCGCAACCTGGGCATGTGTCCTGACTGGGAATTGAACCATGACCTTCTGGTTCATAGGCCAATGCTCAACCATTGAGCCACACCAGCTGGGCTTGATCTTCCATTTTTTATGGTGTCTTGACTCCCTCTATGTAGGAGAAGGAATTTGTGCCCCTCCCTTTCTTCCATCTTTCACCAACCCCACCTTTATTGTGTCAACTATTCCTTTATTGTTCCTTGTTAAAATTGATAACATTCATTCTGTTCTATAATTATAACAGCATCTTCTGCTTTTGCCTTCCTGCCTCCAGTGCAGGGAAACACATCACAGGGCACATCCTTCTCCTACACCAGCCAGACTACACAAGGGGATAATTCCCCTCGTCCTCCAAGTCCCAGCCCCGCTCTCCACTCCCTCCCTGAGCCCAATCTGGACACAGATCATCATACACTATGAAGTTATCAAGGATGGTGTCCACTCCCTGGGGCACCCATCATCCCTGTGTATGTCTCTATCACTGCAGGCATCACTTTGTAGTGTCATGTTTGTGTGTCTCATCCTTCCATAAGACTGGGGTTATGGACTCACCTCTTTCTCATTGCATCCCTAAGATCTAGCACACGCCTGGCACATATAGACACACAAGTGATGCTTGGTGGATGGATGGATAGATGGACGGACAGATGAATGAGTGGATGGATTTGGATAGGTGGGTGGATGGATAGATTGATGGATAGATAAATGGATAAAAACATGAACAAGTGGGTAGGTGGATAAGTAGATGGATAGATTTAGATGGGTAGGTAGATGGATGGGTAGGTATATGGGAGGTAAGTGGATGGATTGACAGATGGATGGATTAGAGGATAGGTAAATTGATGGGTAGATGGATTTGGATTAATGAATGTATAGATGGATAACTTTAGATGGGTAGGTGGATAGATGCACAGACAAGTGAATAGATGGATGAATGGATAGATAGATGTGGATATGTTCCAGTCCTGAATGTGATGCAATCCTGTGTGCTGTGATGGGGCTTTGGAGCTAGACAGCTGGGAACGCATCACTAGTCCACCACTTCAGCACTATCCTTACGGCAGGTTATTTAATCTTCCTGAAACTGATTTTTTTTTTTATTTCATGTCAAATGAGAGTGATAGTTGCCTTCCTCAAAGTTTGTTATGGTGATCAAGTGGGCTAACATCTCTAAAGAGCTTGGCGCCTGTAGGCACATAGTAGGTGCACAGCGAGTACGCACCAGTAAGCAAAGAATAGGCTAAGACGGATTTCTTAAAGCTGTAAAATTGCCATCCTACAGGCAAGCCCTCCACAGAACCCTCTACCCATCCTTAGAGCGCTCAGAGAGATCATCTTAAAATGTAGTGAAACCTCAAAACCTCAAAAGAATAGAGAAAAGAAACAAAGGGAGACATCCCCCTGACCACCTCTCCTTCCCTCAGAAACAGTTCTCCTTCACTGCTGCCATGCCCTCCCCCCATAATTGCTCTTCTACCCTGTGATAGAATTATCCCTTGCTAGGTCTACCTCTCCACTCAATGAGCCCACCTTTGAAGGCATCATCAAGGTCCTCCTTCCCAAACACAACCCCCAGGTCATGGATGGCGCAGGTGTGGAACTGCACACGGAAGATGACATCTCGGGCTGGGCTCCGGAACTTCTTGTGGTAGCACTTCAGCTGGGCGAGAAAGAGAGCAGAGCCCATCAGGTGCCCACGGGTGGGAAACCGGGTCCCAGGGAGCTTCTTTATCAGCTCCAAGGCTGGGCCCCCCAGGCTCACCCCAAACCCAGTGAGGGAGAGGTCACCAACACAAACAGGATCTCAGAGCCCCTGGGGAAACTTCTAGAAGAGCAGAGAGTTGGAGGCCAGTCTTATCCCATGGGGATAAAACTGCCTCTCAAGAATTTCCTGCACAGAGATCAGAATGGAAAAAGTAGGAGTGGATTTAAATTGATGGGGGAAGGGCTGACGCTAGAATTGAGGGAGTCCTTGTCACCAGTAAGAAGCCAGGGGCTAAGAGCTCCCACTGGGAGACATTTCCCTAGAGCTGTTCCAGAATTAGAGGTAAGCCCAGCGGGCATCCAACTCCGAGGCCGGAGAATGCACAAGCATTATCAGAGGCTGCAAGGCCTTGCAGGAACCCTGAGAGCCTACAACACTAAGGCTGGTGGCCCACCGGGAGTGAGGTCTTGTCTGGAGAGGCAGGAAGAGCCCAGGAAGAAAGGAGATGGGAGAAAAATAAACGAGGAGGAGGGGCTAGAGCCAGAGGGGCAGCACTCACCAAGATGTCTCCCTTCAAGAGCAGCCCAGGCTCGATGGTGATACAGATGCTGGTCTGGCTGTCTCCTTGGACGTTACTGTGAGGAAGGGGCAGGCAGAAGGAGAGGGACAGCTGGAGGGGGGCAGGCAGTGCTTTTCTCCCTGCTGCCCCTCTGCCACCAGGCTACTAGGAAACCTTCCGACTTCATCCCTTAGCCCTCTCCTGGAGGAGATTCAAGGCAGCAGCCGCCACCAACAACACACACACACACACACACACACACACACACACACACACGCCCCTGCTCCTGGTCCTGAGCCTCGGAGCTTTGGCATCCGGGACTCTCATTCCCGTGGAATACTTACTAGATGCCAGATGTGTAAACAGGTTGCATGGCCTGGTAGATCCGGAGAAATGGCCGACACCCTGTAAGGAAGGGTGGTGTTAGCTACAACAGTAGGAATTGTGGGAAGAGGGAGAGGAGTGAAGGAGGTGGGGGAGAAAGAAAGGAGGGGGAGAGAAAGGAGAAGGAGAAATGGAAAGAGACGGAGGAAGGAATACTAGCTTTTCATGTGAAAGGCACTTTAAGTTGACAAAAACATTTCCCATCCACTATCTGCCAGCAGGTGTTGCAAGTATCAAACCCATTCTGCAAATAATAGACTGGGGCTAAAGAAAGCTCGGGAAGTGGTGCCATTGAGACTCCAATCCAAGCCTATATTTTTATCATGGCTGCCTCTTCAGAGAAGGTGAAGGAAGACAGGAGGGGCTGGGAAGCCAGAGGCTGGGGTCAGTACCTCCTTTAGACTCGAAGTTGGGGATGCCATGCATGATCACATGGTGCAGAAACAAGGGCTTGTTGTTCATTTTGATGGTGCCAGAGAGCAGGCCGCTGAAGTAATGCACGTACCTGGAGCAGGGACAGGGGCAGCTTCAGCCAAGGAGGTCTGAACCGGGGCCAAGACATCCCATGTTCTTTTCCACCATAACACTGCCCTAGGTTGCCTGCCTATCCCCCACCAATGCCCCCAGGCCTCCGGGTAGCTGAGGTCTCAGCCCAGCACAGTCCTCCCTTGTTGTCTGGAGCTCCAGGTAGGGAGAAAAAGCAGGTTCTATAAGACCTAGAGCTGGGTCAAGCCAAACCCCCTACTTGGGGTTCTTCAGCGCCCTCTGGTGGTCAATGTGAGCATCTCTTTCCTGCTTCACTCCCAGCCCAGGAATCTCCTGCTGGACCAAAATTCCTCACACGTCACCTTCTCAGAAAGGTCGATCCCTTTGAGTCAGCCCCTTGTGCCCACTCCCATCACTCTCTCGCCCATCATGGTCTGTTTTGGTTTACCCCCTTCAAAGCACTTCTCATTCTCTGAAATGACCGTGATGGCTAATTTCCATGGGTGTCACCCACCAGAAGGTAATCCCCAAGAGACCTTGCCTGAGAGATTCAGCACCATAGCCTTAGCGTGATGGGCCCACAGCTCTGGCCACACAGCGGGAAAGCTGGAGTCCAACTCTCCAGTTCTCCACTCTGGGCCTGGGACTCCACCATTCTGGCTCCCACTCATCCCTGACAGGCATCCTTCAACTGCTCACTACTACACAAGGCAGGCTGATCCACTATCAAATAACTCTGACACCCCTATACTGAGCCCAAACCAAGCAGACATTTATACGCACAGACCCTAGGTCAATTCCACATAGTCCCACCAGCCACATGACACTCCAGCAAACAGTGAGAGCATAATAATTATAGTATTTCACTTTTTAAGATCATGCTAAGTGTATGAAAATCCACCTAGAGCATTTCATTTGGTGTTGGAAGATATCTAACTTCCACTAAGTATTTCTATCTCTAGGGTCAACATCTCCCAATTTTTTTAACAAAGATCCTATTAGAAGAATGGAAGGATTAACCTATCCTACTCCTTGTAAACAGAAAGAAAAAATTAGGTTCATAAAGGCTCATTAGCCTCCCAGAGACACACAGCAAGAACACACAAAGCTGAGAGTGAATGGGGAGAGAAGGAAAAAAGTCTGACTGCAGTGCATCTGCCAGAACAGAGGCTAATCCTTCCACCACTGGCCAGCACTTCCTCCTTCTCTGACTGGCCAGTGGACGCCAAGCTGAACCAATCAGAATGCATCCGAGACTCCAAGGGAGCCAACATGGGCTTTTGAAGTGGGTGAGACCAGAACCCGCATGATCATGATAATAGTCCCCTCCTATATCTTGACTCCCTGGCCCATCTCCAGGCCCGTGGGCCTCTGTCCCTGGGCCAGGGTGGGGCCACTTAGGACAACCCTAGCAAGATAATCTGATGGGCAGCACCAGCTCCTATTCAGGCCCCTGCCCAGCCCCCAGCCCCATTACTCAAAGCGGAAACCTGGAATGGCGGGTTCCTATCAGAACTTCTGATCGTGCCAACAGGATGTGTCTGTGTGCTGGGGACAATGAGTCCGGGGGTGGGGTGACAATGAATGGGGGAGCTGCAGGCCAAGCCCCTCCCTCTTTCTCTGCCTGCCCTCTTCTCCTCAACGGCCTCATTCCTTACCAGTGACACTGACAAGAAGGCGGGAAAATGGCAATGACTGCATGGTAAACCCAACAGTTGCACTTTCACATTTGGGAACAAACAGAATTACACACCCATAAGCAGATGTGGGTGCAGATATGGGCTGCAAGGCAGACACAGATAATGTACACACACACACACACACACCAAGCACTGTGGAATCCCTACATAATCCTATTCCTGAGAGGTAACACTGATCCCCATTCTCCAGGTTTTCAGCTTCAGAGATGTGACTACTCGGCCTGCTCTCTTCAAGCCACACTGTACCGCTGTAACATCATGCTCCTCTATTTGTACCCCTTATCCTTCAAGGGCAAGTGCCAGACTCATGACCAAGGCTGACAGCCATAAGTGTCAAAGCCAGGGACTGAGGAGAGGGTACTTGAGTGACAGCTCTTCCCTCCCTGAGACTTCTTCCCTGGGAACACTCTCATGGACCCACAGCTGCTGTGTCTGGCAGCCTAGCGAGAATTTTCTGCACATAAAGGCATCCGGTTTCTGATCCAGCTGACCTGAGGCTGCCTACCAGCTGTCTTGTGCCAATTGTAAGACCCTGCGTTGCCTGAGGACTCACTCATTTCTGCTAGGGCTTCCCGCTCCAATGGCGGAAACCGTCCCCAGCAGTGCCAGCACACTGCTAGAAAGGCAAGCAAGATACGAGTGATGTGAGTTGGGGACACCCAACCCGGAGAGTCTGGGAAGCCCCAGGACATGCAGCAAGGGGGTCTTGCTGGGCCAAGTGTTCCTAAGGGCTAGGAAAGCAATGGGACACTGTGACCTCCTGGCCTAGACCCTGTACCCCAGCCCTTCACTTAGATGCTTCCTTCTCCCTTCTCAAACCTCACCTCACACGTCACCTTCTCAGAAAGGTCGGTCCCTTTGAGTCAGCCCCTTGTGCCCACTCCCATCACTCTCTCGCCCATCATGGTCTGTTTTGGTTTACCCCCTTCAAAGCACTTCTCACTCTCTGAAATGACCGTGATGGCTAATTTCCATGGGTGTCACCCACCAGAAGGTAATCCCCAAGAGACCTTGCCTGAGAGATTCAGCACCATAGCCTTAGCGTGTAGCCCAACAGGACACATCACAGACAGGTGTGATGGGCCCACAGCTCTGGCCACACAGGGGGAAGGCCGGAGTCCAACTCTCCAGTTCTCCACTCTGGGCCTGGGACTCCACCATTCTGGCTCCCACTCAAATGCAACCCCCCAAGGCCCACCTGATCCTGACACTACCTGTGCCTTCCTGTGAATCAGACATCACTAAATAGCATGCAACCCACAGAGCTGAATCCAGGGGGAGCCCTCAGCATGGTGGATAGCACAGCCAGGGGGAGGTCCCAAGTACATTCTGGCTCTGTCACTGCTCTCTGTGGGCCCTGGCCACATCACATCCCTTCCCTCTGGGCTCAGGCTTCCCTCCTGTAAAATGGGGATGCCCTGGATCGTCATGTGGTAGGTTGGCATTATTCAGCTTTGGGCTCAAATTCCCCTGCTCTGAGAGGTATTCCCTGACCATGGTCATTAAAATAGCCCCATTCCCCTCCCTTCAGCCCTCATCTCTGCAGCGCTCTATCCTCTTTCTTTCCTAGGACTAATCACAATCTGAAATTGTCTTGTCTGTGTATTTTCTGTGTAATGTCCATCCTTCTCAGTAGAGTATCACCTCACTAGGGCAACGGATTTTGTCCCATTCAACTAGATATCTCTAGAGTTTGGAGCATAGCAGACTGCCTGAAATTTGCCAAATGAATGACTGACTCAGTCCCTGCCCTGCTTCCTGCCTGGGCTGTTGTGCACTCCAATGAGACCACGTGGTTGAGTGCCCTCGATAAAGTTTTTAAAGCACACCCAGTAAAAAGTGACTGTTATCAAGAGTGTATGTGACCTCCCTGGGCAGGTGGCAGGGACCTCAGCTTCCTGTAGACTCATCCAAACACTGATCCTGCTTCCAGGACCAAGAATGGCACTGCCTCCTCATACAATCCGTCTTCTTATACCCAAACCAATGTGTCCCCCACCAATGCCCCCGCTGCTCTCCAGTACCAGCCTCAAGAGCCAACTGCCCTGCCCACCTGTGGGCACATACACAGCTGCTCATGGGCTCACCCATGTCCCTGATATCAGACCTCTCCAGACTGGCCCCTGAACATGCATATTTAGTACACCCTCACCGAGGCATGCTGTTCCATCTCCCGTGGGTCCATGAGGCTAGTCCCCACACATAGCCAGCACACATGTGCACTGGACTGTGACCCACCTTCTCTGGGACGGCTGGCCAATGGGTACAATCTTATCCTCATAGAACCGCTTCATTGCAAACCGGTCCAGTGCCTGGTCGGCGCTGGGAGGAAAGACAGGTGGTCAGAGGAGCCAACATCCAAGTGCAAGAGCCCCTCCGGCCCCCTCCCCACTCCCCAGACCTGCAGAGTCCTGCAGCCACCCTGTGCTGAGGTGCTTTCAGGAAAAGAGCACCCTGGCAGCTCGCGATCCTGTGTGCTGTGCAGGGGCTTTGGAACTAGACAGCTGGGAGCCCGTCACTAGTCCACCACTTCAGCACTATCCTTAGGACAGGTTATTTAATCTTCCTGAAACTGATTCTTTTTTATTTCATGTCAAATGAGAGTGATAGTTGCCTTCCTCAAAGTTTGTTATGGTGATCAAGTGGGCTAACATCTCTAAAGAGCTTGGCACCTGTAGGCACATAGTAGGTGCACAGCGAGTACGCACCAGTAAGCAAAGAATAGGCTAAGACGGATTTCTTAAAGCTGTAAAATTGCCATCCTACAGGCAAGCCCTCCACAGAACCCTCTACCTATCCTCAGAGTACTCAGAGAGATCATCTTAAAATGTAGTTACCGGTCCCATAGCTTGCCCCTTCTTGACTCTCCCAACGACTTCCCATCACTCTTATAATAAACCCAAAGTCCTTATCGAGTCCTACAAGGCTTGCCCCCGTCCAGCTTCACTTCCTACTCCTCGTGCCCTCACTTCTCAGCTCAAAACATGCCAGCTCCTTGCATGGCATTCCCACTGCAGGCCTTGTCCCTTCCTCCTCTCTCTTCCTGAGAAGTTCCCTCCCAGACTTTATGTGACTCAGCCGGTCCCCCTCTCCTCTGCCTAATTCGGGTCTCTACTCAACTATCACATTCTCCTGCGCCTCCTCTGACCCCTGTCATGCTCTGGTCTCCATTCTTTCACAGATCTTATCACCTGCTATTATGGATACACTTGCTTATATACTTAGAGTCCGTGGGACAGTGGCCTGGCTCTGCCCACTGCTGTATCCCAGCACCTAGAACAGTGTGTGGCTGTTCAGTAACAACTGTCGAGAGAAAAAACCAATGAGTGGATGGATCCCTCTGCCTCTCTGCAAAATGGAATCAAAACAGAGACTACTGGTTTACTAGTCTTGCCCCAAACCCCTAAGTGGGAACAGGCCCTGCTGGCCAAGGACAGGGGGATGGATGAGATAACTCCCAGACGGTTCTGCTGGACCCAGATCTGATCCAGTATTTCCTTCGGACACCCTCCCTGCTCACCCAGGAAAACAGAAGGCAGTTTGGCAAGAAAAACTGGCCCCAAGAATCTGGCTGGATGGGGTGTTCACAAATGGGCCCATTTCCCAAGGCTGGACAATGCGGGGATGGACTCTCCTCTCTCCTGCCCTCCACACACAGGGTCCTGGGGTGTGACAGGCACCTTCCTTCCTCATCCTAAGAACCTCTGACGCCCTCTGTCTTTATCCTCCCGCCCCAAGGAAGGGAGAAATCGTGGGTGGGTCAATATGCAGAGAACAGGAGGCTCGGGGGCCCTCTTACCTGGCCGAAATGTTGCTGTAGTGCATGTAAGCGGCGATGACCACTCCTATCCTGCCTCGGTTTCCCTGGAAGAGCCCCCAAACACAAAAGCCTTTATTCTAAGGCCAGCCTACTGCTCCAGTGCCCATCCAGAGCCTTGGAGGGAAGGAGGCAGGGGCTGGAGAGAAGGGTGTGGCTCTAAGGGAGACCAGGAGGAGGGAGGGGATATGGGGGAGGGAGAGGATGTGGGGGAGGGAGGGGATATGTGGGAGGGACCAGGGTGGGAAAATGAGTCTCAAAGAGAAGAAACACAGATGATTACGCACTACACTTGAGGGCCCCACACTTCCTGTGGGGGCCCCAGGGCAGGATCTACCATCCCTAGAAAGAAGAATACACAGACTTCCACACTCACGCAATCCAATGATACAGGCCAGGAGATACCCTCATCCAAGGATACATTCACACATGGGCATGCACACGCACGGACACACACACACACACACACACACACACTCACACACCCTGCAACCAACTCTGACCTTGTTGTGTAGAACAACGACATTGTGGGGGTCTGCGTTGAGCCAAGTGTCCATGGCCTTGCATACACTGCAGATCTTCTCCAGGGCTGGGGTGTGGAGGTCAGGCCAGCCAAATTCCAGTACCTGCGGCCCAAGCCAGGAGTGATAAGTGGCAGAAGCCCAGACGGTCAACCAGGGCAGTGGGAGCAGCACACACTCCACATGCTAGTACCGGGCAGTGGCCACCAGCAGCTGGGCCTTGGTTCCTGCCCTGCTTATCAGCCCAGCTGGGAGGTGGGGGTGTGGAGGGATAGGGCAATGGCCAGGACAAGGGATCCTGTGCCTGAGTCTCAGCTTTGACACTGGCTTGCTGTGGGGCCCCAGCCAGTCACGGCCCTTCTCCTAGCCTCAACTTCTCATGTGTGAGTACAACAAAGGCAAGGTCCCTTCCACATGACTCTGACCTCAAAATGTGATGATGCCCCCAGCACTGCCCCCAAGCTCTGCTCCCACAGACAACCCCAAGGCCTGGCTCAGGGCGAGGGCAGAGCAAAGGGTTCCTGGCTGTCCGTGGCTCTTTTCCAGGCCCTGGCCACACACACCATTGATTTTTCAGGCCAACCCAGAGAAGCTGAAGGAGACAGAGGGAAAATCTGAACCCCAGTCTCCAGCTCCTCAAAACTTTTCTAAACTCACAGAACTTTATAGTAAAAGAGAACTTCTGCTTGGAAGGGCCCAGAGAATATACCTAATCCAGCCCGTCCACTCTCAGAGGTGCAAACTGAAGCCCAGAGAAGTGTCACCTTCCCAGGGTCACACAGCAACCAGCAACAGAATCCAGGAGCCGGGAGCAGGCACCACGCAGAGCCCGGCCCACGGCCCACAGGGTGAGCAAGTGAGAGCTGGCAGTGGGAAGGTCCACGTCGGCCATTCCTAGCCAGGCTAAAGCCAAGATACCTTTCAAAGAAGCGAACAATCTCACAGCTCCAGCCTCACCCAGAGATCCTAAGGGCTCCCCAGGGAGGCAGAGCTGGGTAGAAATCACTGCACCGAGCTTTGCTTTCTGTAGTTCGTATTATGGAAACAATGAATAGATTCTTTCCCATTATCCAAGGAGAAGATGGCACTGTAATAGGCTTTGCAATCTGTCACAGCACTTTCCCTAAGACTCTGACGTGGAACCTGAGGGGCGAGGGGACTGTCTGTTATCTCCCCTCCCGGGCGGGTAGACGCTCCCACCCTACTCAGCATGGGCTCACCTTGGCGTGGAGCTTCGTGATGTCAGGTCTCCGCTCAGAGAGGTTGAAAAGCTAGAAGGAAGAAAAGGAAGAAATGGTGGAGGGGCTCACATGCTGCTCTCGCCCCTGCTGGAGATCCCACCCACACATGAGCTGGGATCAACAGGAACCCAACTATAGGTTCTCAGGATGGGGGGGGGGGGGGGGGG